ATGGGTTGGAACTACCCACAGCCGGTCCAAAAAGCAGTCGCCAGAGTTCTAGATCTCCTTCACAGACTTCCCTGGTGTCAGCAAGGTAAGTAAAAGGCTAATAAAACATCCTAACTCTCACAGCTGCTACCCTGAGTGCATCTAGCCCCTTCCATGTCACACAGCTGGTGGATGAGCCAGTGCACTCCAATGCTCTCCTCACCCTCAGCTACCTCACTATGCCAACATTACACAGGCTACATGTAGAAAAAGGCAGTAAAGCAAGACTTCCCTTCTGACTTCTACTGTCACCATTCCTATTACAACACATGGGCTGTGACTGACAATTATTTTAGTAGAATGAAACTTTGGGGGTTACAGCTAGCACTGGGGTGGACCCCAAGTTGGGGAAATATTTAAGCCATAAAAGGACACATCAAATTTGTGAATAAAACTACATTAGTGAAATTGTACATAATTAGAATTTATTTGATACTTTGTTCTGATAAAAAGGAAACTATTTTTCCCTTCTGCCATTTATTGTTATTTAGAGTTCTATCACTGGGGATGCTTCATCAATACTCTTGGGCTTTGTTGGCAAAGAAAATATATTGTTGATCCTTATTTTAGAATTTCCAATCTCCTATAGTCAGCAGCTACTTATTACTTTTTATTGTCCATGTAGAGATTTCAAGAAAAAGGGAGCTCCTAAAATATAATGTTTTAAGTATGAAAACTTGGCTTCTAGGGGCTGGGGTTGTGGCTCAGTGGTAGAACGCTCACCTAGCACATGTGAGGCACTGGGTTCGATCCTCAACACCACATAAAAATAAAATATATTGTGTCCTCCTAAAACTAAAGAATAAATTTTTAAAAATGGCTTCTATATAAATATATTAAATAGTTACTTGTGTTTCCCTGTACTTTCATAAAATATATTTTAAAAAGCTATCATATCAGTTACATAGCTATTTTTCAAATGATCCCAATTTTCTATCAACATGCCTCTCCTTTTCCTCTTGAATTATTATGTAAGCTATAATTTTGATTGCTTTTCTCAGCAGCAAAATCTTGCCCCTGTTTTGTTACCATCTTGAAAACCTTTAATACTTCTAACTCTAAGAAATTGATTATATTTGTGTGCTAAGTCAGCTTTTCATTGCTGTGACAGAATACCCAAGTAAAACAACTTAAAGAAGGAAAGATTTATGTTTGCTTCTGGTTTCAGAGGTGTAGTTGGTAGCTGGCTGTGGCAAGGCACAGTATCATGGTGATGAAGGTGTAGTGGAACAGAGCTGCTCACCTCACAGAGGCTAGGAAGCAGAGAAAACAAGGGGCTGAGGACTAGATATATTATCCAAGGGTACATATCTACTAAGAACCCAATCTCATTAATTAGTTTCTACTTCCTATACTTTCTGTCACCTCTCAGTAGTCCATTCAGTATGAATCCTTCAATGGATTAATTCACTGATGAGGTCAGAAACCTCATGATCCAATTACTTCCCCAAAGCCTCACCTCTCAAAAATCATTGCATCGGGCACAAAGCCTTTACACATAAGCTTCTGGGAGATATAAATCATAGCAAGTTGAAAACATTTTTCTCACATAGAAACAT